TATAAATATATCATGGAGTACTTGTCTGAACAGAATATTCTCTCACATGCTCAACATGGCTTTCGTTCTGGCTTTTCGACGGTGACACAATTATTAGAATTCTCCCACGATATTGCATCCACATTTAATGCCAGAGGACAGCTTGATGCCATCTTCATTGACTATAGGAAAGCCTTTGATACAGTATGCCATAATAAGCTTCTCATTAAAATCAAGGAACTAATTCATGACACTAAACTTACAGACTGGATACAGGACTATCTGAGCTCAAACAACACAATTTGTTGCATTTAATCGTGCTCACTCATCTCAGGTCAGTGTCACATCCGGTGTACCACAAGGATTGGTACTGGGTCCATTACTCTTCATCATCTATATAAACGACGTCGTTAAAGTAACTGCTGGGACTTCTGTGAAATTGAGACTTTATGTCGATGACTGTGTCATATATTCTGATGTGACTAGCACTCAAGATTAGTTGCAGTTAAATAAAGTTTTCGACCGTTTTTGCGAGTGGAGTAAGACATGGCAGATGTCACTGAACTTCAAAAAAACAGACTCAATGACTTTCTCAAATAAAAAGCATGCGTTAAAGTTTCCATATTTTAGTTGTAACCACAAGCTCGAAAGTGTAGACACTTTCAAATACCTCGGTGTTACTTTCACCACGGACTTGAAATGGCATGCCCACATTCTGAATATATCAAATAAGGCGTTAAGAAAGCTGGGTTACCTAAAGAGAAACTTTCGAGATGCAACTAGGGAATGTAAACTAGTAGCATACAGATCTCTAATAAGGCCTCTCCTAGAGTATGCGTCTGTCGTATGGGCACCGCATCATGCCAATGACATAAATATGCTTGATTTTATTCAGAAAAAAAGCCATCAGATTTATATGTAAGCGTTATGATCGCCATTTTTCACCTACAATATATGCTAATGAATTACAGCTAAAATGTTTGGCTCTCCGACGCACTTGTGACTGCCTTGTCCTGTTGCATAAGATCACTCATGAAGAAACATTTATTGATGCACCCATTACCTTCACTAACCCTTTTTCTCGAATCACAAGGAGAATCACCTTAACATAGCTCCTTTGAAGTCATCTATTGATTGCTTCAAGTTTTCTTTTTTTCCTCACACTATTGATACTTGGAATGGTCTCCCGGGCTCCCTGCGTGAGCTGTCAAACGATGAATTCGTTGAACAATTGCCAAACTTTCTTCACTGATCAGTTGTGTATACTTTCCTGGTGTTCTGCCCATTCAGTGTGTATACTACAGTGTTCTGAAAAGTTAATTCGAGCGCAAAAACTTGACACAATCACTCACACACGCACACACCCATGCATCAAACACACAGCGCTCACTTCCAACTGATTTATTCATAGCTCGAAGGCTTGAATATATACAGGACACATTGTGCGCACACCCACACCAAAGAAGGCCAACAGCATACATTATCAAAACGTACAGTTAATCAATGTCATAGCCTTAGAGCGAAAAACTGAAGTTCGCTTGGTAACAACGAAACTGAAGGGGTGCTTACACAGTGATCTTTATTTTTTTCAATGAAAAAGGCCTCTAACACTTCACGTGCAGTTTTAATTGCGCTTCTGCCTAGAATCTTCGTCTCAGAAAATCGTGCGTCACAACCACATGAGATGACATGCGCAACCATGTGCGCATACTTGTCATCTCTTTTCGTTAATTTTTGGGCGTGTTCCCTTAATCGGTCATTAATACACCGTTCGGTTTGGCCAATGTTCACTTTTCCGCAGGATAAGGGTATGGAGTACACAACACCCATGGAACACTTAACAAAGGCCCTCTCATGTTTCTTCTGACAGCCGCGCTTCTTTCTATCGCACACACGTTGGCACAGTCTTCCAATTTTTTCTGGCGCGGAAAACACCATCGGTACGCCGTGCCTGGCCGCGACTTTCTTAAGGTTGTGCGAGACCTTATGGATATATGGCACAACTTGTGGCCTAATCCTTAAGGGCTGGGTAGCAGTCACCGCTTCCTGTGTTCCACGTTTAAACTCCTGCAGAAGTGATTCAGCAACGGCCGTAATGACCGATCGAGGAAACCCAGCAGCCTCTAGTCGGCTCACCTGATCAAGGAAACTAAGTTTCATGCTGTGTGGGCACGACCCTTTTAGCGCTGATTCTAAGCAAAGAGACGCAACGCCCCTCTTCACAATCTTTGAGTGGGCAGAATCGTACCGCAACAGCTGCTTCTCAACACGAGGATGATAAGACCAGCAAATATGCTCATCGTTCCACGTGAGGCTTAAGTCTAAAAACTGCAGACAAGCTTCTTGAGGCAATTCAACAGTAAAGGAAAGCCCTCGTCCTAGTCTTATAAAAACGTTTAAAATAAAATCAGGGGATGTAAGGTCACCGTGTTTATCTAAAAGAATTTAAAAATTTTTACGTCACCGTACCTAAAAACCTTTAAAACCTCCCCCCCTTTAAAAGCATTGTCCAAGTCCCTATCTACATCCGCTAAAAAAATATCACAAAGAACCGGCGCGACACAGGAACCAATGCAGATTCCTTGCCGCTGAAGAAAGGGCTTTTTCGTCAATCATAATAAAAGTTGCATTGAGATAAAATTTTAAAAGCGATAAAAAATTGTCTACATTAACGCCCGCATCATTGATAAAATCGACGTCACCATTCTCTTCTATGCAGGATTTTACAGAGGCTAGAAGCTTGTCATGCGGCACGGAATAATACAGATCTACAACATCCACTGAAAAGGCGTTGCCTGTGGTAACGCGAGACCGCAAAAAGTCGCACACATCACTTGAGTCCTTCGTACGGAAAGGGTCATTCACCACGAGATTCTTTAGCTTGCTCTGAAGAAATCTGCTAACGTTAATCTGCCAAGACCCTCCTTCACTAACAATAGTGCGAAAAGGTACATCCAATTTGTGCGTCTTGGCTGAGAAAAAAACGTTCAGGTTGCTCCCTTTGTTGTTCTTTATGTCCTTAGCTAACATTGCAAGCCCAGCATTCTTGCAAAAATTAGCGAACTTAGACCTAACGCGAGTCGCTCCCAACTCAACTGTGCGGAAGTTCTTCTTGATAGCTGCTAAAGCCTTTTCTTTGTAAGCTCCCTCAGGCATGACCACAAAGCAACCTTCTTTGTCGGCTAGCATTAACGTTCATTTGTGGTTTATAAAGAACCACACGATGTTATTCAAGCCTTTAACTTTAGGTCTATCTTGATTCTGCGGTGCACATTTCAATAAACAGTTTATACCATCTTGTAGGCATCTGTCCCGGTCTTGGTTGGCCTTCACAGACAAGTCCTTGTTTAGTCCGACAAGTTCATGGGCAGAAATGCGAGGCGGGACAGCAAACTTTGGTCCCTTCAGAAGCCATCTCTAGATTTCTGCCGGAATGTATGCGTCCTGTAGCACCACAATGTGCTTCTGTTCTTCCTTTCTTTGCTTATCAAACACCTTGAGCAGTGGGTTCAGGACCTGCTTCCACCTCACTTCCGTGATGTATTAATGACCGATTAAGAGAACACGCCCAAAAATTAACGAAAAGAGATTACAAGTATGCGCACCTGGTTGCGCATGTCATCTCGTGTGGTTGTGACGCACGATTTTCTGAGACTCTAGGCAGAAGCGCAAGTAAAACTGCACCTGAAGTGTTAGAGGCCTTTTTCATTGAAAAAAATAAAGATCACTGTGTAAGCGCCCCTTCAATTTCGTTGTTACCAAGCGAACTTCAGTTTATCGCTCTAAGGCTATGACATTGATTAACTGTACGTTTTGATAATGTATGCTGTTGGCCTTCTTTGGTGTGTGTGCGCACAATGTGTCCTGTATATATTCAAGCCTTCGAGCTATGAATAAATCAGTCGGAAGTGAGCGCTGTGTGTTTGATGCATGGGTGTGTGCGTGTTTTAGTGATCGTGTCAAGTTTTCGCGCTCGAATTAACTTTTCGAAATGCTCTACCAACTAGCCCAACAAGTTCTCTTAGAGTACTACAGTGCGTATACTCAATGTGTATACTTTATTTGTGTTATATTTAATGCAACTAAATGTGATTTAGTGTGACTTAATGTATTGTATTTTATCTTGTGTTGTACTCACTCCTGCAATATCTTGCTGTGCAAGATGCAGTATTTGTAAATGAATAAAATAAATATGACTACATGCCACACTCATGATGCACTCGCGGTCATTTCGCTAGCTTCACATACACCAAATACAGTGCAGTCCACTTATAACGATACCACATATAACGATATATCGGTTATAACGATGGGTCGACTTAACAGTCTCATTTTATGCATTGGGGCTATGGGGAAAAAAACCATATAAAACGATATGTTATCCACCGCATATCGGATACAACGATGAAAAGTTTGCCGTGGACGGCATGTTTCATTGAGAATAATCGTAACATTTAGATTGATAAGTTCCTCTGAAACGAACTATGCCGAGACAAGACGAAAAGTTAGCGTAGGCGAGTACGTATCTACCGCCACAGCAGCACAGCGCCGGCAGCGCGTCCCCGCCGTTCAAAAAGCGGAGGAGAGCATCGCGAGTTGGCGCGACGCGCTACAGATGGCGCCAGCTGTGTCACGTTTTGCGCCTCGCCGCGCGTCGACCGCGGAGAGGCTGAGAGAATTAAAAAAAAAAATGCGAAAAGCAAAGCGCCGCGCTCCGCGGCTCCCCGCCTTCTACAACGGCAAGCCGGCAAGCTACTCGTAGCTTGCCGAACGAAAGCGGGAAAGAGAGAGAAAATAAAAAAGCGAAAAGCAAAGCGGCGCGGCGGCATCGGGGCGGGGCCTCGTTGGCATTCCGGCTGTGTACCTCTGGCTGTGCTTTCTTCCTCCCACTGCTCCCACCCCGCCGTCGGTCAGTCTCTTCCTCAGCGAACCCGTGATGCGTTCTTTGGAGTAAGAAATAGAGTCTTGTTTTTGACATCCTACTATCTACAATATTTATTAATTGGTGAAAATAGCGAAATGAAGCCTGGAGCTACAAAAGGTACGTCCGGCGACGATTTTTTGGCGCCAGTCCAGATATAACGATCACCGGTTATAACGATCATATTTTTAGGTTTTCTCGATATCGTTATAAGTGGACTGCACTGTATGGCATTACGTGACTTGAATGTATTATGAAGTTGTGTTACTGGTACAAACATAATAATCATGAAATGCATGTTATGGAAGAAGATGACTGCATGCCACACTCATGATGCACTCGCGGTCATTTTGCTAGCTTCATACATACCGAATTTTGTATTTTGTGACGTGAATGGATGACGAAAGTATGTGACTGGTGCAAACATGATAATCATGACAAGCATGACCTGTACAAACATGACTACATGCCACACTCAAGATGCACTCGCAGCCGTTCGCTAGCTTCACATAGACCAAATTTGGTATTATGTGATGTGAATGGACGATGAAAGTAAATGACACGTCCAAACATGACAAGCGTGTCTTGTAAAACATGACTACATGCTATGCTCATCGCGTGCTCGCGGTCATTTCGCCAGCTTCACATATACAAAATTTTGCGTTATGTGACGTGAGTGAATGGCAAAGATATATGACTGGTACAAACATGATAATGATATGTGTGTCATGTAAGAACATGACTACAAACAACGCTCATAGCGCACTTGCGGCTGTTTCGCTAGCTTCACATATATCTAATTTGGTATGATATGACGCGAATAGACAAGGATAAATGGCACATCCAAACATGATAATCATGACATGCGTTTCGCGTACAACATGACTACATGCTACGCTCATAGCGCGCTCGCAGCCGTTTTGCTGGCTTCAGATATACCAAATTTTGTATTACGTGACGTGAATGAAGGACTGAGCCCAAATTCTAGGCAAAAACATGATAATCATGACATGAAAGTCTTGTACGGCATAATTTGCATCCGTCTCATAGCCTTGTGCTGATTTTAATGTGACAAATCAACTTTTTTATTTCGTGCTTCGCATATATTAGATTCCTGCTGTGCGTGAGGTCTACCAATTTTTTATGTTGAAATATCCACTCCTCAGGTAAAACCCCCGAAGAGGGGCCATTAAAAATAGCAGGGGTGCAACCACCGAAATAAAATTTGGGAGTAATTTTTGTATTAGCAAAATGTTACTTTTGGAGCACCAAAATCCGAATTTGGAGCATGTTACCGGGAAAACAACAGTATTCTTTTTTTTTATCACCAAAGACCAGATTTGCAGCAGTATCAAAAGGAAGTATGTACAGAGAAAAAAATACGTACAAACCATTCAACATCTTCGCATTCACGCAGAGTGAATATTTTGGTATATAGTAATGTACCTTGTTCTGTAGTATGGCCCCAGAGGGCGCCATCAAGACATTTAGAAACGCCCTCACTACAGTTCAGCGTTAGGGAGGTTTGACATGAAACGGTGTTTTTTTTTTTTTTTTTTTTCCCAGAATGCGCATGCCTTGCTTGGCAAACAATACAATGGTGCAGTCGACATCCGTCCTGAATGCCTGACCCCATCAGCACGCAGCTCTCATGTGGCTGACCTGACAGGAAGACCACCTGTGTTTTGGAACCATCTGGGAACACCAACAGTACCATTGACCATTTTGACACGTATTTGCTTGCTGCTGGTGGCGAAAGTTTCCCTGTGGAACGCAAAGCCGCATTGCTTGGAACCAAAGGTTAAAAAAAAGGAAAAAAAAAAAGACGGGTTGCACTTGCCGCCGTATCGGAAACGCCGGGGTCAACCAAAGATGCCAACCGGTGCAAACGTTAGCGACCAAGTTCAGCCCACCATATGTAGTAGCCACAGCCAGACTCTCGTTTCAAAGTCTCGTGCATGGAGAGTTTTCCCCAAGGATTTTCTCTTCGAATTGCTGCAAGATACAGTTAACCGGTGCGATTTTGGTTAACTGAAGGACTAGCTGCAGCTCAAACAATCACTCATTGGACTGACTTCTACGTGGTTACATGAACGTTTGCTTGTCTAGGAGTCCTTGCTTATGTTCGAGAAGGCCATGAAGATTATCAATGATGCTGAACGCGTGCAGCCTCGCCTCCAAGAATACGAGCCTGAAGTGCTTGTACAGTTAAACGCAGAGCTCCATCAAGTTCGTGATTGCACCATTCTTTGCCGCGGCAACTCGCTGCACATTCGGTAACGTGTCAGCATTAGAACAGGCCACCCCACTCTAAAACTGGCTTCCCCAACTGCAACTGGCTGCCCCAGTTCCCTCAACAAGCGCCTACTCAGAACTGCCCCACGTGTGGCGAGGTTTACTGCCAGTGGTCCAAGAGGCAACATTTTGCCATGGTGTGTCACAGTAGACCATTCGCATGGTCACTGGCATGGTGTCAGCGAGGCCATAGGTCACCCAATCCTGCCAGGACGAGGCTTTCGAATCGTGTGAGTCCACAGCGCTGTCCACCCAGTCCTGCCAGGACGAGGCTTTCGAATCGTATGAGTCCACAGCCCTGTCAAACACCCAACCGAATCTCCACACACCGGGATTTTACACTGACGTTGAGGTGAACGGAAAGCCTTCATCTTAATTTGTGAACACTGGCTTTTGAGTTTCCATTCTGTCCAAAGAATTGTTTACAGTGTATTCTGTTGAGCCATTAGGGTCTGATTCACTGGTAGCACTCCCCAAAAAGCTGAAAGACTATTCAGAAACTATTCACTTCTAGGATGCTTTCAAGCTTTGATAGCGCTTCAAAATCACACTGCTGAGATACTGTTTTACGTTGTAAGAAACGGACAATCCCTCCTTAGTACTGATGCAACCCCCAAACTTAATATGATTCTCGCCTTCAATGCTGCGGCACCAGTACACAGCCAGTTCCAGCGAATAGCGGGTGTTCTTTGGGCTCACAGCCCCGGTGTCTTTGTGAGTTGCCACATGTGCCATCTAACACACCTAAAAACAGCAGAACAGGTATGGTGAGCCACCTACTTGACAGATTCAATGAACACTTGTTTACTAATGGCCCTGGTCTCGTACACTGTGTCACCCCATCAGGTCAGGATACGTACTGAAGTTCCACCACAGCAACTGCCTCTCACATCGCAAGAACCAGTCAAACAGGAAATAGAGAACTTATTACAAAAAGACAACATAGAATGTGTCTCTGCATGGGAATGGTCGTCTCCCATTGTTGTTGTTGTGTAGTGTGACTGTGGCCGCTAGGTTTGGCGGCAACAGGAAAGACAGCTACGAACATGTGATGTGTGGCCGCTCCACCTGGCGGCGTTGAAGTGGTCCTGAGTTGTTTTTGATACGCATGTGGTCAGTTGGTGTTTGCCAGCAGAGTGTGGCCTGGCGTAAGTAAACGTTCGTGTTCCTCAACCCACAACATGTAAACACTGGCGACGAGGATGGGATAGGTCGGCATGACGTCCAGCGCGGCAATGGAGGACGGGCGGAACCCCGGACAACGGGACGCCTCCAGCAATGGCTCCCTCGAGCAATTCAACTTGTCACAGCCGGACGAGTGGGAAGACTATGCTCAGCGGTTCGAATTCTTCCTGGAGGCGCAGGGCATTACGGACGCTGGAAAGAAAAGGTCGACGTTTCTCAGCCGTTGCGGGGCCGCGACGTTCCAGCTGGCCAAGGCCCTCGTTGCGCCGGACCAGCTGAAAGATACGCCGTACGAGGATATCATCGCTGCCCTTCGAAATCATCTTTCGCCGAAACCACCGGAATTGGTGCGGCGATACGAGTTCCATCGCAGAGAGCAAGCAACCGGTGAGTCCGTCGCTGCATACCTCGCGGCTCTGCGAACGACTGCACAGCACTGCAACTTCGTTGACCTTGATAAGGCACTCCGAGACCGTTTCGTTTTTGGCCTGAGGAACGATAAAGCTAAACGGCGCATTTTGGCGAAAAAAGAAGTGTCGCTCGCCTGCGCCGTCGAGGAAGCTACCGCCACCGAGGCCATCGACCGTGAGGCCAGCCAGTCGCGACTAAATGCAACCGCGCCGCGTACCGAGCCAGTGCACCAGGGAACGGTCGCCGACTGTGGAGAGGACCAGGACGGCCTCGAGGAATGTGTTCGTCAGTTGCGTGCAGACACCAGTCAACGCAGGGACGCAGGACTGGGGGGCGGATATTGTGCCGGTTGTGGGGGGCCGCACGAGCGCCGGTTGTGTCGTTTCCGTGATGCCCAATGCCGAGGTTGCGGAAAAACAGGGCACATAGCCAAGGTCTGCCGGTCTCAACGGAAGCGGGACCGCCGTGCGATTTTTGAGACAAACGGCAGGACGGACAATTCGCGGACCACTCCGCGTGCGAGTACCTCGTACTGTGACAACCTCACGGAGACCGCCATCCACGATGTGCCCCAGCCCGGGACAAAGAAGATTCACGTTGCTGTCGAAATCGAAGGTGTGGAATGCGAGATGGAGGTGGACTCGGGATCTACGTTTTCGCTCATCTCCGAGGCTACGGCCAGGCAAATCTTCCCGAATGGGTGCATCCCGAAGTTGAAGCAACTCGGCGTCGTTATGAAGGACTATCAGGGAAACTGCATAGCAGTGCAAGGGATGGCCACAGTTACAGTAAAACTCAGGGGTTTTGCTGGCCCACTGAAACTTGTCATTGTCAAAGGGCAGCGTCAAAGCCTCCTTGGACTAGACTGGTTTCCAGCATTAGGAATTAAGGTCACCGGAGTGCATCGCATGGACGAACTGGCCACGGCATTTGACAAGCTGTTTGAGGAGTTTGCTGTTGTCTTTGACGGGGGACTGGGGTGCTACAAGGGACCACCTGTGAAGTTGGCCTTGAACCCGGAGGTGGTGCCAGTCCGCCTAAAGGCAAGGAGGGTGCCCTTTGCACTGCGCCAAAAGATCGATGCCGAGCTGGACAAGCTGCTACAGCAGGGTGTTCTGGAGCCAGTGGACTGCGCGGAGTGGCAAACCCCTATTGTCACACCATTGAAGGGAAATGGAGACATCCGCATCTGTGCAGACTACAAGTGTACCATTAACAAGGCCCTCCAGCAGCATGCATATCCGGTGCCGGTGGTCAACCACGTATTGGCTTCTCTCTCAGGCGGAACCATTTTTGCAAAGCTCGACTTGGCCCAGGCTTACCAGCAGCTGCCTGTCACCGATGAGTCTGCAGCAGCACAGACCATCGTAACGCATCGTGGGGCATTCAGGGTACGCCGATTGCAGTTTGGTGTCAGTGTCGCACCTGGCATCTTCCAAAATCTAATGGAAACCCTCCTACGTGGAATACCAGGTGTAATTCCATATTTTGATGATGTGCTAATTGCAGGGGCATCAGGTCAAGAATTGCTCTCTCGCCTTCGCGAGGTCCTTCGCCGTTTCCAGGATGCTGGGCTGAAGGTAAAAAGAGAGAAGTGCCAGCTGGGTGTCGCCCAAGTCGAGTTCTTGGGGTTTCGAATAGACGCCGAGGGCATCCATCCGACCCCAGAAAAAACACGGGCCATTCTTGGTGCACCTCGCCCGTCAAACAAGACCGAACTCCAGGCATTCCTGGGACTGGTGAACTTCTATCATGCGTTCTTGCCACACAAGGCCACTGTTGCGGAACCACTACACCGACTTTTGGACAAGAAGGCCACCTTTGTGTGGGGCCAAACACAACAAAGAGCGTTCGAAAGCGTGAAAGAACTCTTGGCATCCAATCAAGTCTTGACGCATTATGATGAGAAGCAACCTCTCATCCTTGCCTGTGATGCGTCCCCATACAGAATAAGAGCTGTGTTGAGCCACCGATTGCCCGGCGGCACAGAAGCACCGGTCGCCTTTTATTCAAGGACCCTGTCGAGTGCAGAGCGAAACTATGCACAGATCGATAAGGAGGCACTTGCCGTGGTTGCAGGCGTCAAAAAGTTTCTTAACTACCTGTTTGGCCGGCCTTTTCAGATCCAGACGGACCACAAGCCACTGCTCGGGTTGTTCACGTCTGACCGCCAGACACCACAGATGCTGTCTCCGCGGATGCTGCGCTGGTCTATCTTCCTGAATAGATACCAACATACGCTGCTCCACCGGGCTGGGAGGCACTTGGGCCATGCGGACGGCCTCAGCAGACTGCCCTTACAGCACCAGGGCCACGATGACCCCTCTCCCGCAGAGGTTGTCATGCTCCTGAATGCGCTGCCAGAACCACCCCTCCATGCAGCGGACATTGCCACCCACTCTGCCAAAGATCGCACCCTTTCACGTGTTCTTAACTGGGTCTGGAAAGGGTGGCCAAGGGGCAGCATGGGCCCAGAGTTTTCTGCCTTCACATCAAGGCAGCACGAACTGACTGCCCACAAGGGTTGCCTACTCTGGAGTGACCGTGTGGTGATTCCACAAAAGCTGCGGTTCCGGGTGCTGGAAGCACTGCATTCTGGGCACCCTGGTATTATCCGGATGAAGGCACTTGCCCGCAGCTATGTGTGGTGGCCAGGCATGGATGCTGCCATCGAAGAATGGGTCCGATGCTGCTCCTCTTGTCAGGAGACGCGGCCAGAGATGCCTCGAGCACCCGTCCACCCTTGGGAGGCGTCTCAGAACCCATGGTCCCGCCTCCATATGGATTTTGCCGGTCCCTTTCAAGGGCAGACCTTCTTAATCGTCGTGGATTCGTATTCAAAGTGGCTGGAGGTCATCCCAACATCCTTTATGACGTCACAGACAGTAATCAGTGCATTACGGAAACTGTTTGCCACACATGGTCTCCCAGACACCATTGTCTCAGACAACGGAGCTCAGTTTAAGTCCACAGAGTTTCGAGGGTTCCTGGACAGCAATCTGATCCGCCAGGTAACTTCGGCACCATTCCACCCATCTACGAATGGCCAGGCAGAAAGGATGGTACGCACTACCAAGGAAGGCCTATCTCGCATCATCCAGGGGAACTGGGCACGGCGCCTGGCAGATTTCACACTGCAGCAGCACGTAACCCCACACACGACTACGGGGCGATCCCCGGCCGAGCTCCTGATGGGCCGCAAGTTGCCAACGATGTTGGACCGCCTGCACCCTGATCGGGCCCCAGAGAAGTCCACACGGTTGGCAGATTCCCCGTCCAAACCACGCACGTTTCAGCCTGAAGACCCTGTCTTCGCACGTAACTATGCTCAGGGGCCTCTGTGGATTCCAACAGTGATCTCCCATGCAACCGGACCAATATCTTATGAGGTCACGGCCCCTGATGGTCGAGTACTGCGCAGGCATGTGGACCAACTCCGTCGCCGGACGGTCGGGCCTACCCAAACGGCGGGTGCAGAACTGGAAAGACCGCAGCCTGAAAGACGACCGATGTCAACGTCTACCCCTGAAGGCTCGAGTTCTGTCCCGGTGGCCCCTGAGGGCTCGAGTTCGGCCCCTGTGGAGCCAGACGCACCGGGGGAGCAGCCGACTCCTGTGGTTAGCAGTGTGCCCCCACAAGAGGGCGGAACCGTTCCACTGACTGTCCCAGTGGAGGCAAATGACGAGCCTTTAGTGCCACCACTGTGCTTTCGTCGCTTGCAGCGTGCTCGGGGAACCCCGCACCATCTAAGAGACTACGTACTGGCCCTGGCTGACTGCTGAGTTCAAACTTGGAGGGGAGGGGTGTTGTGTAGTGTGACTGTGGCCGCTAGGTTTGGCGGCAACAGGAAAGACAGCTACGAACATGTGATGTGTGGCCGCTCCACCTGGCGGCGTTGAAGTGGTCCTGAGTTGTTTTTGATACGCATGTGGTCAGTTGGTGTTTGCCGGCGGAGTGTGGCCTGGCGTAAATAAACGTTCGTGTTCCTCAACCCACAACATGTAACAGTTGTTGTTCACAAACAGGACGGAGCCATTCGAATGTATGTGGATCTTGGGGCACTTAACCAGGCCATCTATGTTGATAGTTTCCCGCTGCCTTATGCGGAAGACCTGCTGCCGTCTCTCCAAGGTTCTAAACGGTTCTCGAAGTTAGATCTCGCTTTGGCCTGTCACCAGGGAACACTACATAAAGGCGGTAGCGACTTGACAACCTTTATAATGCATGTAGGCCTTTTTCGTTTTAAATAAGTGTGTTTGGACTAGCTTCCGCTCCTTCTGCGTTTTAACAACCAATGCACAAAATTCTGTCACACTGTTTTGGTGTCAAGTTTTACATTGATGACATCATTGCTTTTGTCAATACTCAAAAAGGAACATAATGACAACTTCAAAAAGTTCTTACTCGGATCGCTTCTTCAGGCTTAAAACTAAATGACAAGTATGTCTTTGATGTCCTCCAAGAAATGTCATTCATTGGACACAAGATTCTTTGCTCCGGGCGTATCTCCCCATGAGAAGGACATTTAATAGGTTGATATTTTATGCCACCCATTCAAGCTGACCCAATATTATTCCAAGCTTGTGCAACACAATGCTCAGGTAGTGGAACCGCTTAGTCATTAGCTGCTTAGGGTTGTTCCTTTCAACTGGGATATACAGTCGAACCTCAATATATCGAACGGCGCGGCAATCGCGAAATAGTTCGATATATCCAGAATTCGATATAAAAAAATCCTGAAAAAAAAAATGCGTCAACAGCTTGCTAAAAACGACCAACGAACCATTCAAGCGTGGTGCAGTAAATACTCACTTGAAGATTCAAACATAGTATTTATTGTGTTGGTTTAAAATATTGAAAAAGAGTAGCCTGCTTTTTGTTGGCCATGGCGTGTTTGACGACTGCGCCCTCAATATAGTCCAAGCGATCCATATGTGATAGGCTGGTGCCTTCAATCGCGCCGCAGTGGCGGCGCAGAAGGGCCAAGGCAGCTACGACCTCAGCTGATGTCGGGAGCGGGGCACTATCAGCGCTTGTGGGATCCACCTCGGCAGAGTCTTCATTTGGCTGCTCAGCAGTAGCTTCGGCGAAAATCTCCACCAGCTGAGGTCGGGAGCGGGGCACCACCAGCGCTTGCGGAATCCACCTCGGCAGAGTCTTCATTTGGCTGCTCAGCAGTAGTTTCGGCGACAACCTCCACATCCGTGAGCTCCGCCGTTCGGAGTTAGGCCTGTCGCACGCCACAAGTGCGCAGTGTGCCGTTGACACCATAGAGACTGCAACGACTGAAAGCTGCAAGGCTGCAGCGTGAGTCCAGGTGTAAAGCGCGCACATGGCGCGCCCATGCCGGCTCGCCTGACTGCTTTCCCTTTCCCGGCGGCCGCGCGGGCCGAGTCCAAGACAGTCGTCTGCGTCCTTTACCTTCTATACTATCCTCCTCAATCTTTACCTCCCACTCCCCCTTCCCCCGCGCAAAGCCGTGTCGGTGCCTTCGTATTGAAAGAAAATAACAGCTCCGCGCTTTTCTCTTCACTGTCCTTATTCAAGAACCTCTACCCACGGTGGAGGAAATATTCCTCCACCGTGCCTCTACCGCAAGGCTGCTGCGCGCGTACGCCGCTACGTTAAAGTGGCGCTCTCGGCGCCATCGATGTGTGTAGCATTTGTAAATGCCCGCCGCTCTACCTCTACTTTCGAGAGTTGCGGGCAAGCTCGCCGCCTGTCAATGGAGCGCGGGCGATTTGGGGTGGCTGAGTTCTATATATTTATTATATGTCAAACTTTGTTCGAAATAAAAAATCAATAATGCATGCGATCTCCCGCGTGATATAGGAACCGTTCGATATAGGCAATAATTCGATATATCCGTGTTCGATATATTGAAGTTTGACAGTAGATGCTGAAAACAGTTTTCAGAAGGTGAAAAAGTACTTGCAGGATGCGCCTATTTTATCACTGTTTGACTCAACTCTTCCTTATGTGGTGTCCTCGGATTACGGGCTTGGTGCTGTATTGCAACAGACTGACAGAGAAAACACTGGAACTATTCAGTTTGTTTCTTGTTCTCTCTCTCTCTAGCTGAACTCCACTGGCGGAAAAGAAGCCTTGGCTTGTTTACTGAAAAGTGGCATGTCTACCTCTGGGGAAGAAAGTTCACGCTAATCACTGACCACCAGGCATTGGCTACTCTTTTGTCTGAAAAGGGCTGTGGGAGGAAAAGGGCTCTGGCAGGATGACAGACCGGATTCTCAGAGAAGGCACGAGGGGGAGACATAAAGTTAGGTGCGCCGATGAGATTAAAAAGTTCACAGGTATAACGTGGCAGCAGAAAGCGCAAGACCGGGTTGATTGGCGGATCATGGGAAAGGCCTTTGCCCCGCAGTGGGCATGGTCAGGCTGATGACAATGAATATATTTATAACTTACCGCCACAAGAGCTCTAAAGCTAGGAACTGTTCTTGAATATTAAAGCTCTCCACTAAAACCAAATGAGTGCATGGAGTCTCGTTACATAGAATGCTTATAAAAAATACACATTTTTCGTAGCTTCGTCACGGGTCCCAGTAGTCATGTCACGTGAGATGGACGTGCACAGCCTGCTTTGTGAGCCCATTTTGTTAGCATTTCAGCTTTCGTCTCGTTCTGCTATACACATTTTCACAGGAGCGAAGCACACAGGCTGCCGTAGCAGCTTTAGCTGTACATTTTTGGGAGATCACGCCAATTTGCGCAGCCCAGAAAGGACAACTAAAGAGCCGCTTTTGAAAAGGGTTCTCAAGTCTGCATATTCAAAAATTTACTCCCGCCAAGACAGTGATAAGAAAATAGGTTGTACCAACTGTACCCTAATTTGGCCATTTCAAAGACCTTTCCCAAGGCTCCTATATCAGACATTCCTGTAGGGTATTTTGGGATGAGATTTCAGCAACATATCTATACCAATCTCCAAAATAACGAAAATATGGATGCCAATTCTGAAATACAGTCAAATCCCGCAACAACGAAATTTTTCTACAACGAAATTCCGCGACAAGGAATTTTTTTACGCTTCCCGTCCATTTCATTGTAGCAAACTTTTATCCATAGGCCACAAAATTTGGTAAGATCTCATGACTATGACTCGTCCTTTGATCGTAGCAAGTGCACACATTGAACTCTTGCTAACTGAGACGTACCTCGTTGCACAATGAACGTCTTTTCTCGCACCTAATGCGATCAAAATATACAGAAAAATTGGAGCTAAAGTTGGGGTCCGGGTTACGCGTGAATTTCGGTGCCCAACTTGAATTCACAGCAACGCAAGAAAGGCGACCTTGCGTGAATACGCGGGTGGTTTTTTTTTTTTTTTCTTCCCGCAGTTTGCAGTCGAGGGTGCCTGTTATATGCAGGGGCGCCTTATACAAAAGAAAATATGACATTCACACGATACGCCAAGAGCGCAGTTCCATGAACGAGCGTGTGAAAGCTTCGCTAGAGGCCAAGTGAAAATCGCAGCTGAAAGTGTCGAAGCTCCCCACTACTGTGGCCATAAGTAAACGACAAGAAAGTCGTAACGCTTTGTGTCGTTTTATGGCTTTATTGCCTTTAATCTATGGCTGTGTTAGCTGCGCACCTTCAGATTGCTATCAATGAACACAACGATTGTGACCACAATTTACTGGACAACAGCTGCGACAAACAGTAGTTTCGTTTTCAATCTGCGCGCGTGACTTGAGAACTGTGTCGTTGCCATCTTTGTTCATACCCTTACAGCAAGAAATATTGGGTTGAGTCAGTGCGCGGTGACTGCTTACGTACTTTTGTGGTCGCCCTTGACCGCGTTCGACACGACCACATTTGTTTTCGCAGCAGTTGCAGAAAAATAGAGTTACGCTGAGACTAGGTGCGCGCTGCTCCCATATGTGCCTTCATGACGCCTCGGTTGTCTTTCACGATCGCAGGGCAAGTAACAACAAGCGTTAGTTTTGTTTTCAGCATGACGTAAAAAGCATATTGCAACCAGTTGCACTGTGCTAAGCGGTTTCTTTCGCCATTGTAGGAAGCCTGTGCGTGTACCTGCGAAGTGCCCGCTGATTGCTGCTACAATTTAGCTGCCTGCGCTCGGGAGCAGACGGACCATCATGCAACAACACCCACATCGCTGCCTCGTATCCTGGTCCAATATCGCGTTGCGCCATGGGAGCCACCGCTATGCAATCTCGCGAAGGTGATTCCAAGATGCAACGCAGCGCCACCTCATCATTTATAAAAGGCCTCAGCAGCGGGCAGCATACGAGATTTGCAGCCAGTTGCACTGTGCTAGGCGTTTTTTTTTTTTTTTTCGCCATTGTAGGCGAGTCTGCAGCGCTAAAGGCGCAAATTTTTTTTTGCAATTCCAACCAGGCTGCAAACCCCCAAACTTGCATGATGACAGTGCATGATTATTGGACATAAATCGGCATTCACCTGCGTTCATATCGCGTCAGAATTGACTGTTTTGTCGGGCATAGCAGAAATACGAAGTCGTGTTCACCTGTGTGGCTGCGACCACCATCAGTGTTCATTCATTCATTTCATTCATTCATTTTTATTTCCTTAAGGACCCCACTGGGGGGTATTACATAAGGGGTGGATACACAGGAAAAGAGAACATTTGAACACGTTAGTTTTTGCAGCATAGGTGATTTGTAACATTTGTCGCGAAGGATGATGGGCAGGTGGTTGAAGCAATGGAGCAGAGAAGGTCGTTCCAATCCTTGACGGCGCGGGGGAAAAAAGAAGCTGAAAAAGTGGCAGTTCTGTTGCGATCACGGGACACTTGAAGTGGATGGCTTGTGCGGTGTGAAATGTATGTCGGGGGGAAGATGTAAGGAGCTGCATTGAGAGAAGAGTGAAAAAAATTTATAAAAAAGAGAAAGGGTGGCGATACGGCGGCGAACAGAGAGGGGTGATAAACCGGATTGTGCTTTCAAGGATGAAATGCTGATGTCGTATGAGTACTGGGAGTGAATG